CACTTAACATATTCATTATCAATAATTGCATTAATTAATATATTAATAAGGACGAGAAGGAGATTGTCACAGCCCAGATTGATTAGCTTATGAGGAACCAGATTCTTTTTTTCAATTAATTATGTGTGTGTGCACCTGTGTAAGTTTATATACACCATGTGTAAGCAGCTATCCTCAGAGGCCAGAGGGTATCAGGAATTGGAGTTCCAGGACACTGTGATACATTTCACGTGGGTGCTGGGAACACATTCCAAGTCCTCTACAAGAACAGTAAGCATTCTCAACTGCACAGTCATCTTTCTAGCCCAAGAAACAGATTGTTTTGTTGCTGCTTTTTGTTTTGTTTTCAAGACAGAGTTTCTCTGTGTAGCCCTGGCTGTCCTGGAACTTCCTTTGTAAACCAGGCTGACCTTGAACTTACAGATCCACCTGCCTCTGCTTCCTGAGTCCTAAGATTGAAGGCGTGCTTACATGAGTTATGTCATTGCAAACTCATTAACAATGAACATACTGTTATCATTCTTGATGTATGTAAAGCCTTAATGTATAATTTCTATCACTTTCTATGATGTCAGTGTTCCTTCATTGGGCAACATCCAGCTCACTGCCTTCTGTCACTGAATGCAGGGTTGAGAAAAGTTTCATGGTGACATGCCATTGCATACTATTTCCTCCACATCCTCAACCACACATATTGAGATGTAGCAGAACAATTAAGGAAGGCTGTGAAGCATTTAATAATGTTATAATACATATAATTTATTACATTGTAAGTTAATATACTGCAATATTTAATAATGGCTATGTTTACCAGCCTGCTCATAAAATTCTTTAAAACTCTAAGATCAGCCTGGTCATCTGGCCTGGAACCACCTTTAGCATATTCTTGTCAATCCAATGTGATTTAGACTACATTCTTTGCCATAACAACTCAGTTTCTAGTCATTTATAGAAAACAGTGTGCTATTAAATACCCTAACTCTTGAATGTTTAAGGTCTCAATGTTCTTGCCTTTCAGATTCTGTCTTAAGGCGTCCAGAAGATCTCAATGAAGTTATCAGAGCCATGTTTTAGAGAAAGCCATGAAACCAGGATGTGTACAGGTAAGGAGTAGGTATCACAAGAAAGCAGTGTGTACCAATGGAGAACAAACCACTTTCAAATAGACTCGAACTTAATATAAAGATAGATAGCCTTGCTATTCAGACAGGGCTACAGTTAATCCTGGAGCTGTAGAGATTTGAACCTGCAGGGAAGGTCAGGTACAGGACTGTACTTGACCAACAAAATCGATCTTCAGTTTGGAGCTCCAACAGGCAGGCTGCTTTTCTTACCTTTATTTTTGTCATGTGGGTAAGACAAGAGCCCTAATGACGATGACTTCCTCCCTGGCTAGCAATAGGATGTGCTTTTAGAGGTTAATAGAATTTGAGTATTCCTACTGCTTGGCCCCACATGGGCCAGTGGGGAGGAGAGAGGTTTGCTGGGCTTTGGAGTAAATAGCATCTAGATGTGAAGGGACCAGCTCCCCTTTCGGCAGTCATAGCGGCCAAACACATGCTTGTATGACCTTGTCCTGGACACTAGAAAGTCAGATGCCTGTCTTGTGACAAGGAACCAATCACAAGTTAGCTGGTGGCGCTATGCTTTACGACCCTGGATGTACTTTACGGACAAGCACACAGCAATGACGTAAAGCATAGCAACCATCCTGGGAGGGCCTATGAGCCATAGCAACCAGTTGGCCAATCAATACAGGGCAATCCCTCCAAGGCTGGAGGCACACCAATAGTGAGCCTGTGCGTACCCCTAGACACTCCCCTTACGCTGCCCTATAAGATCTTGGTCCTGTGGCTTCTCAGAGTCTTTTGTGAACCATCCGCCATGGCGGGTGGGTGAAAGACCCGAGCTAACATGGGGTTAGCTCATTAAATTGTAATAAAGCTGAAAGACCCCTGCCCCTTAGCCCTTTCTTTCTTAATTTTGTCTCCTCCACGCCCGGCCCGAGAACGAGCACCAGGTGGGCCGGCCCGAGAACGAGCACCAGGTGGACCGGCACGAGAACGAACACCAAGTGAGCCGGCCTGGAGCCCTGCCCCTGAGTTCCCGCCCGATGAGAAACACTCCGTCCCACGGTCTCCGCCGGGAGGGGAATTGAGTCTGTTGTACCAGACACCAGACCTTGAGAATATGTTGATCTGGAATGGCTCTGTGTCTCATTTGAACCATCCAATGGAAATGATTCTGTATTTTGCCTCATTTGAAAGACTCTGTGTTTCACCTCATTTGAATAACTCTGTACTTCGCCTCATTTGAATAACCCTGTATAGCGCCTCATTTACATTGACCAATGGGAATAGCTCTGTACAATGCCTCATTAGAATTATCCAATAGAATCCCTACTTCTAGCTTGTGCCTTTTTCCCTATATAAGGACCCCTTTCCCTTGGCTCGGCGCGCTTGGCCTCACAGAAGCTAAGTCGCCCGGGTACCCGTATCTCCAATAAAGCCTCTTGCGGTTTTGCATCCAAGTTCGTGGTCTCGCTGATTCCTGGGTGCGGGTCTCCCTCTACGAAAGTACCTCTTCGGGGGTCTTTCAAAGCCTCGTGCAGTTTGCAACAAGCTCTTGAATCTGCCTGGTAATTGGGGTGACCACGGTCGTGGCCTGGGAACCCGGATACCTGAGTTTTCTGGGGGTCTAACAGATGTTTAGGAGGCAGAGTATATAGACCTGGTACCTGTCAGCTCTGTAGGGACAAGAGCATAGCAGTCTTAGCATGAGGCTGCACCTCTGGAAGTTAGAGAAAGGGGAATGAAGCAGGCCTTTGCTGAGACAGTCATGCCACTGGAGCAAATCCATCTTAGCAACTTTTGAGCTTCCAATAAGTTTATAAATCTTTATGGCAGAAACTGGTTTGAACTGTGATTTACAACAGCACACACACCCGTGACTGCTGCAGTCCTCAAAGAGACAAAGTACATGCTCATTGAAAATAAAATCTACTCGCTGGAAACAGAATCTGGCAGACTTGCAGAAGCAACTAGGGAGTAGAAGGCCAGGAGGGCTGGAAGATCTAGCAAAAGCTGCACACATACGGCACTGCAGATGGACTGTTTTTTCTTTTTTTTTTTTATATATATGAGAAACAGAGACACAGTTGATAAAGAAGAGAAGAAGCCCTCTGTGACAGGAAGGAGTGGCCGGCTAGCTCCAGTGGAGTGGGAAGGGCAACCTGCGTGGCTTTGCCCTTTCCTCTGCATGACAGTTATAAACAGGACTTTTTTCTTCCAGGCTAGGTGGTGGTTCTAGTGTTGCATCTTGCTGAGTCGTTTGGTAAATCCGATATGGCAGCTTGTGAAAGCACAACAATGGGTAAAGAGAAGCGCCCTCCAATCTGCCCCTAGACACACAGGGCAGCAGAGAGACGTGAATAAATCAGGGCAGCACAGTGTTTGGGAACATCAACAACTTCATTTGAGAAATTCGTCTTGGTTTCTTTTTTGATCTGGTATTTTATAATTAGTTAATAAAAATGTCTAGACACTGCTGTCTATGATCAACTCCTGTGTCCAGCACTCAGGAGGCTGAGGTGAGAGGATTACGTATTCTAGGATGATTGGCATAAACAGTGAATCCATCAAAATCCTCAGGCTGGAAGGCAGCTGTGTGGCAGGTCCAAAAAACAGGTATTAAAAAAGAGAGAAGAGGGCAAGGGCCATGGTATCTCCTAAAAGTGTGTTACAATAATTTCCTTCCACTGGACTCTACCTTCCATGGCTCCCTGTGGCCCTCTCCTGTGGACAAAAAACAGCAAATGGAACACCAAGAACGCAAGAGCGGAAGTATACGGCCAAATCCTGGAACGCATCACTGAGTTTGGCACAAGTGTGGTCCCTCTGGTTTTCAAGAGGAAATGAAAGGACAAAGTGTGAACCTGCCCTTCATATCTTAGCCACGTGACTCAGTCTCCGGTCATGCAAGTCAGTGCAGCGCGATAATTTCCGATCCCACTGCCTCTGCTGTCAGACGCTCTCTTCCTGACAAACCTCCTTTTCTTTTCCATTAAATATATCTCTGGCTTTCCTTTCCCCTCTGCAGCCTGGGGATTCTTGGGAAAGCCTGCATCAGAATCTGATGAAAAAATTACCTATTTCTCAAAAAAACAGCAGTTGAGTGAGTTCAGGGCCCCACGACAGAAGACAGAAACTCTTCCCAGGTGCTGGAAGGCTTAAGTCCAGCATGAAAGGTGGAAAGAACAAAACTGCCACCAGAGTCCCCCACATCATAGAAGACCTCTGTCTCCCAAAATGCATCTCACCTCTGCACATAAAGAGAAGCTTGGACCCATTTTCAGAACTATGAAATGGTTTCCTTATAAATATAAGTGGGGGGGGGAGGAATACTGTTAGCCTTTTTACTTTGCTTGTCACAAAAGGAACTGTTGGAGAGTCAGGTTGTCGTAATGGAGGGGACTCAGACACCACAGCTACCCAGGAATGAGAATGAATTGAAGCCTCTCACTGTGACCTGTGACAGGCTCTTTGATTTCTCTGGTCCTTGCTCTGCTGTGTCACAAAGACAGGCTGTTGGAAGCCTGCACTGAGGGGATGTTAAATGCTTGAGGAATCACCTTCAAAAATCACCCAGCACAGTGGCTGGTACGAAGCACATATTTACTAAGTCATGTTCATCCTTTTCAAAGTTACCTACTCCAGTTCCAATACTTCCCAAACAATTATACTTCTAGATGACTAGATGAGCCGGAACTATTTTACCCATAGGAATTTTCTATATGCATTCACTCTGGCTATGGATTTATGAATAAAGAATGATGCAATCAGCTTAAAGGCAAATGCTAATAAATTGCCCCACAAGGGGAAACAATCAAGCTTTCCGTTAGGACAAATTTAGCAATCCCTAAACCACAAAGAACCAAACAAAGGTTGATGCCCCATTCTCTCTATGCATGTGTGACTCATGCTCAATTCAAAGAGGGTCCACAGGAACTGACTGCTGAGAGCCGTGGGACAGACAACACCCTACTCAGTTTTTGCACATTCAAGCAAAATGCTATGTCCTTCCTGGATGGACCAAGTCCCATTTTTGCAGGTGTGTTTGTTTTTTTCTTTCTTTCTTTCTTTCTTTCTTTCTTTCTTTCTTTCTTTCTTTCCTTTTTTTTTTTTGCTTTGTCTTTTTATGCAAGACTGAAAGCAGGAGGGCTGTCCTGTGGAGACGCATTATAGCCTAGGTTAAGAAAATACATTCTCTTAGATTGTTTTTTGTTTGTTTGTTTGTTTGTTTTTCCTTTTAACTTTCAGAACATTGGACAGCCTTCCAACTGCACAAGAGAAGCAAGAGCAAAAGGCCAAAAACATCAGGAAAATGAATGTGACAGTTGAGAGATGTCTCACAAGGACAGGTGTGCTTTTCAGGAAGCCTTTCCCTCAGCGGCCGGAGCTTTGTGTTCAACCCGGATGTGGCTGATACACTAAGGCTCTCCGCCTTCAAGTCCTGATAGCGTCTTCATAGCGTCTATGGGAAGATACCACACCCATTTCAGTGAGCAGTTGTCCCTGTGTTATTTAGCAGCCTCGTTCTCTGATTTCACTGACAAATGTGTAGACATGGTGGCAAATGCAGGGAAATCACTAGCTGCTGTGTGAAATTTAAGTCTCCCCAAACTTCAGAGTGGAGCGGCAGCCAGGCGATGGTGAGGGACAGCATCAGGGCTCCCCTTTCTCCAGCCTCCAGAACACCACAAGAGCTAGTATGTTTCAGGGAGTAAGGAATTCTGCTCCCAGCTAAACAATGACTATGAGGAACTGTCCCTACCATAGTGGTTCCAGAGAAACATAGATTTCATTGTAAATTAGAATTCAAACTGTAAATTCCTAGACTTACTTCTTTCTTGTCTTATAAAAAGCTAAAGGTCCCCAGAGGACTGGAGGAATGAAGGAATGTTTTCCGTGGATTTTTAGTTTGCACTTAGTCTATGCTCCCTTCTTTGAGATAAAAAGTCAGATACATGGTCATCCCACCCACCACTGTCATAGAGGAAAGAATGGCTCTGAGGATTAAATTCTGTTCTTCGCTTGTCCCTTTGTGAAATTTCTTTCTACTTTCAATAGCAGTAGAAATTCTCTTCTATTTTTTTTTTCCCTTACACTCGAGGACTATGTCCTCTTTAGTCAGTTTACTGGGCTGAACTGCAATCTTTTAACCATTCCCAGAAGTTATTTTCTCCATCTGCTTAATCATTCCACGAAATTCTTACTTTACCCAGTGTATCTAAATCCCTTATACACTGTTGCAAAGCCGGGCCTGAGACCTTCAAGGCTCCCAAGGGAGGCCAGGCCACACCAGGGCAGAATGTGTCCTCTATAAAAAAAACACTGTGGGATTCTTTAATTACATTGAAGCTCTCAGAAACTTGTAATCTTTACCAGGGTTCCAGGGGGTGGTACTGGAAAAAAAGAAAAAGAGCTACTTTGGATGCCAGGCACTCTCAGCTTAGACCATGGTTTTCCTTATCTAATATCTAAATAACTCAAAGCAAGAGCTTTAGTCTATCTCAATCTTAGATTTTTTTTTTTGAAATATCCTGAGGAAAATACTACTTATACCACAGATGTTTTTTGTAAGCATTAGTTAATATCAATGATGTATCTGTAGATTTGTGTATATCCATACATAATGTATATAAGGTAGATTCAATATGCCCACCAACCCAAAACTCTTGAGTTAAATCAAATTCTATTTCTTACCCCATTCTGTTTAATTAACCAGCAGTTATTTATCCACCTGTTTGCTATTGTTATCATTCTGAGTTCACCCATTTCTTTCCAGAGATCACAATTGAGTTAAGCACCACCTGACCTAAAGTACTATCATATCTCATAGGACTGCCAGCCATTTCTCACAGGACTCTTCCAATAACCTCCTGCTCACCTCCTGCTTTCATTCTTGCCCCTCTTAGACGATGCCATCTTTTAAAAGATTAATTACATCAAGCTATGTATGTCCTCATATTGAAAAAAAAAAGAATTAAACTCCTTACCATGTACCATGTGACCTTACATCATCTATCCCTAGCAGTATCTTTTTTCCTCCTCCACACCCTCCCATCCTCCATCTGTTTTTAACTACACAGGCTTCTTTGTTTCTTGAACTAACTAAGCCTATTCCAGTCCCAGGACCTTAGCCCTTCCCATTTCTGAGCCTACATTTTCTTTCTTCCATTCTTCATATAACTGGTTTCTCTTCTTCATTCCTGTCTCTGACCAAATGGCACTGCCCCGCAAGAAACCTGTCCCAGCACCTAATCTTACCTTGTCTTGTCTTGCTCTAACATATACTTTTCTTATTTTCTTTATGCCATTGTAACCATCTGAAGTCATTTAGTTAATTTCTAGAATGTGTCTCTCAACAAAAAGTCAGCCCACTGTAAGGAGGACTCCGTCTACCTTACTTACATCAATATTATTAACTCCTAAAGTAATATCTGACATGAAATAAAGATTCAATAGATATTTTACAAATGGGCAAATTGGAAATTTGAAACATGTCTTATAAGAATTGAGCTCCATCATCTTTTCCATAAAATTGAAATCACCAAAAATGATCCAGAAATCTTAAGGTGTTAGCATAAAAATTTGGTAGCTTGACCATATATTTGCATGACCAGAAAATTCTGGAGCAACTTTAATATGTTCCTAACAGGGACTGTGGAGGTAGGTCAGTGATAAGAGTGCTTATTCTGCAAGCTGGCCATAGTTGAGCATGCCTGGATTCCCAGGACTGGGGGGAGTGACAGCTAGATACCAGAAGCTCACTGGACAGCCAGCCTAGCAGAAGTGGTAGCTTCTGGTGCGTTTCTAGTCACTAAGGTGAAATTGACAGGGGAAAACTCCCAGTGTTTTCCTCTGGCTTCACATGCACACACCCACTCACAGGCTTGCACCATGCCTATGCAATGCATATCCCAAACACACACAAAGAAAGGAAGCTAGAGAGATGGTTTAGTGGTTAAGATCACTGGCTGCTCTTTCAGATGACCCAGGGTCACTTTCCAGAGCCCATATAACAGCTTATAACCACCTGTAGCTGTAGGTCTAGAAGCTCTGATATTCCCTTCTGGCCTCCATGGTCACCAGGCACACACATGGTGCAAAGACATGCATGCAAGCAAAATTCCCACACACATAACAAAAATAAACAAAACTGTGAAGAAGAAGAAGAAGAAGAAGAAGAAGAAGAAGAAGAAGAAGAAAAATTAGGAGGGATAGGAGGAGGAAAAAGAGGAGAAGTTGTTTTTAGTCACAACATGAAGCATATTTTAATCCTAGCATTGTCACTTCCTATTTGTGTGACCTTGCACAAGCCAGTTAGCATATTAAACTGGTTTCCTCGTCTAAAAATATAAGAATAATAACCAATACATTAGAGAGTTCTGTGAGGATTAAGTGAGCTAAGCTTTGTGCCCAGTTCCTGGAACACTGTGCACAGTGGATAAACAGTGGTTATTATTATGGTTATTGTTACTACAGTAATTAATTCTGGCTCCATACTTCACAGAGAACACTGACAAGTTGGGTCCCATCCAGAAGAGAACAAGCAGTCTAGTGAGCGGTCTGGAAACCACAACTTGTGAGGAACAATGGACAGAACTGAGGATGTTTGCCTTGGAAAAGACACATTCTAAGAAGAATATGATAGCTTAAAAAAATTACCAAGAGCTCCTTTATAGAAGAGGGATTAGAAAGATTTGATATTGTTCTAGAGCATGCAACCAGACCCGACCTAAAAGCCAAATTGCCCAAAAGCAAACTTAAATTGAATTCTACTTTTAAAAGTAAAAACATCTTGAGAGATGGTTTTTGTCAAGTTTGAGTAAGGAAATTGTATGGAGCCATTTGAAATGGCCATAATAAGACTTTCTGTCAATATAAAAATGTATGTGTAGGGCCAGTGAGATGGCATTGACAAAACCTGAGTTTGACACCTAGAACTTGTGTAAAACTGGAAATAGAGAACCAACCCCTCAAAGTTGTCTTCTGACCGCTGCATGCATGTAGCCAGTACTTATACACACAGAGTAATAATAAATACGGTTAAGTTTAAATGTTTAGAAACCTGTGTGCAATGCCAATTGTGAAAGAAGTAAACCATTAAATATGTGCATATATTCTCTGGTCTGAGAGGGAGGAGGGAAAAGAAGGAGGGAGGGAGGAAAAGAGGAGAGAGGAGAGAAATGATGAGAGAGAAGGAAAGAGGGAGAGGTGGAAGGAGGAAGTCAGAGATAAAAGGAGAGACAGGGAGAGGATAAAAACATAACACCAAAACAAAAAAGTATGGGGGAGAGAGAGACACACACATACACACTCATACACACACACACACACACACACACACACACACACACACACACACACACACACGAGAGAGAGAGAGAGAGAGAGAGAGAGAGAGAGAGAGAGGTCCAAATGTTGGAGCAGAGGCCAGACAAGCTCTCAAGTGGAACAGCATGAGAGACAAGATGTATTAGGAGGAGCATGGGTAGGATGAAGGCTTGAAAACAACTGAAAGCCCCAGGGTCCTTGCTCCTGTTGAAAATACTGTTGAATTGTGCTGACACAAAACACTGCTCTATTAAAACATTAAAAAAAAAGTGCCAAGGCCCCCCCCCCCAGCATCTTCATTTCTTCCCAATTAGAACAGTGGAAAATATTTAATCCCAAGAGATCCAAAAGACTGGACCTGAGGCTCCAGTGAGGCATTGTGGGATAAGGTAGTGAGTAATTCTGTTCCCCAGCTAGAGCCCATCAACCTCTCTGAACTTCACCTTCTGGATCCTTCTTTAGAAAGGAGGAAGTTAGGTGCTCTCTAATTCAGAAAGCCTATGAGTCATCTAGATTATTTTATCTGATAAATGTGAGCTTACTGGGGAATTGAAAACCACCGGAACTTTGTAAATAAGAATTTTATAAGGACACTAAGCAGGAAACAACCTCTGATGTTTGATCCAAATGTCAGGGATGGTCATTGTCCCAGCCAAACTCAAACATTGCTTAATGACCCCGCCTTATAAGCTGATGTGTGAAAAAGCTCAGGGCCCTGAGACAGGCATCCAGGTGGTGTTGTGCCGGAGGGAAGGTCTGTGTTTTGCCCACAAGATGTCATATTCAGCAGTTACCTATACTACTTCTTTAGCCTTTGATGGGAAACCTGTGCCCCTTCACTATTAAACTTCCAAGTAGAACTTTCTAGAAGGGCCCGTGGGAATGTTGCTGTTTTCAGCCACTTGAACACACTGTCTGATCCTCCTTTGAGACAAACTTATTTCCTTTGCTATAATTCAGGTGATTTACAGCGATGCCAAAACATAGACTGTTTCTTTCTCACTCGGAACCATACCTTGTGCTTCCACCACTAGGCCAAGAGCTCCACAAAGCAGTAAATCCCACAGAAATTACACAAGGTTATAAAAGATACATTTGTCCAGAACACTGGAGGATGGTCTCAGTCTCTTCAAATCCTTCATTATTCTTCACGGACTATCTTGTGACAATGGAGCAAAGTAAGCCTTGCTGTGCCATGCTCTTCTCCTGAGAGTTGTCCGTTGCCTACACTGTGCATGAAGGAATCATTGTAACAGGACAATGGTCAAGAGGTCTTGCTCTGATGCCCAGAACTGACTTGGTGTCCTCAACACAATGACCTCAACCCTTATCACCTAAATGGAAAGGAAGTTTATCCCTTCAGTTTAGAATCCTATTGTTACTAATAATAATTTAAATGAAATTATAAATAATTATGCAGCCATAACTCAGATTTAGTGTATTCATAATATTACACAGTCATCACCTCTGTCTAGATTCAAAATTTTTATGCTTTCAATATATAATCTTAACTCCATTGAATAGCTAATTGAAATTCTTCTATCTACCTAATTCCTGGCAACTATCAATGTGTTTTCTGTATCTAAAGATTTGTGTCCTCTGGATATTTAATGTAAGTGAAATCATATATAATACTTAGCCTTTTGACTCTGGGAAGATATTCTATTAATCATTCCTAGTTATTTACCTTAGGAAGCAGCCACATTTTAATAATTATATAATATTGTATCAATCGACCCAACACACTTTTTTATTAAGAGGATATTTGTGAAACATCTAAAATGCCTTAAGAACAAAACATTATCTATTAACTAATTTGACTCAAAGAGCCTTCTTTAAGTAGAGTGACATATATATGGGAGTTGAGAGTCAGATATTGCAAATCACCTTTTAAGTCACCTTTCTAGCAGCCAGAGTGTGACATACAAGAGAACCTTGGAGCAGTGAGAGCCTTTTATGTCCACATCAAAGAATGAGATTAGTATTGCTTAGGATTTGTCCAAATGGAGGAACGCCTTATGGGGCTGCAGGTGTGGCTCACAACATATGGTAGAGAGGAAAGAACTCAAAAGCAAAAGAAAAATTTTGAAATATCTGTTTCTCATTCTAATTTCTTAGTTCTTAAAGATACTGTAATGAAGTGCCACCAACTAGGTGGAATAGAAACTTGAGAAATATGTTTCTCTCCATTCTAGAAACCCAGAAGTCTAAGATTAAGGGTCAACAGGTGTGTATGAAGCTGCCTATGAAGAAGTGGGTCTACACACACACACACACACACACACACACACACACACACACACACACAACTATAATACCAGGGGCTTAGGATGCAATCTACAAATCTGGAATGAAACATGAACATGTAACCCCTGCTGCTCCTAGGCGAACTTCATTGTCAATCTATTCCTTGCTCTCTGCTAACATGGTGGACAAAAGATCACCATCCCACAAACCCCTAATTTGTTCAAAGGAGTTTGTGTTGCATGAGGCTTCAGAACCCGGCTTCCAAAGCCTAAATGCTGAAAGTGACTTGTGACATCGGGCACAGCATTTTCCCATGGCAGCCCCAGTTTCCTTGTCTGTAACAACACATAGTTCCTAGGAAATTTTACTTGGAAAACATAAACTTCATACCCAGCCCAAAAAATGTTCAATTAATATTCATCCTTTCATGTTAGTGTTGCAGCTATTATTAAAAGCAGCCAGGCAGGGGGCAGTCTCCATCACAAACACCCATTTCTGGGACACACTCAACTCTGTTCTCTCAGTTATAGCTAGCAGTTAGAATACAAGGTGACATTTATACACCTGGAAGAGTAGAGACTATCCTAGAGAAAGGAAGCCAGAAATGAGAGAGAGGAGAAACCAGTGAGAAGTCAGGGAGGGCCTCTGCTTAGCACAGGGGACAGCTGCCATTGGAACCCAGAGAACAGCTAGGGTGGAACCGGGGCCACCCCAGGAGCACTCAGCTCTTTGGCAGCAGCTCAGGGACACGCCCCACTGATCTTTGGACCGTGTGTGGCTTATTTAATTCAGCTGGTGTTGATTTGCAACCTCCTGTACTTTGAAATCACTGTTTACTTTTTTCCCCCTAATCACATTAGCTTGTTGGGGCTGTTCTTTTGTTCTCTCTGACCTTTAGTTTCAAATTATGTGTTATCGCAATGGTCTTAGTTTATGGTTCACTTTATTTTCCTTTCCTTTTCTTCTTCTTGTTTTCTTTTATTGATTTGTTTTTTTTTTGTAGGCATGGTCATCATTCAGCTAGTTTCTTACATTTTTGGGCTTTTTTGGGGTTTTTTTTGGCTTTTGGAGATAGGGTTTCTCTGTGTAGCTTTGGAGGCTGTCCTGGAAGTTGATCTGTAGACTAGGCTGGCCTCAAACTCACAGAGATCCACCTGCCTTTGCCTCCTGAGGGCTGGAATTAAAGGCATGCAACACCTACACCCTGATAACTTTCACTGCTTTGTCTTTAACTGTCCTTTATTACTATTACTATCATTATTATTATTTTATGGCCATTTTTTAGCCTCTCTCTCTGTCTCTTTTTGTCTATGATGTTTGCTTCTCTGGGTTGTATAAAAGAAAATTAGATGTAGAGTCCAGCTGGGAGAATGGGCTCTCTCCTCTAGAAAGCGCTACTGGGAATCCATCTCCAGTTAGCCATGCTCCAGCAAGTTATGTCTGGCTCGTGTTCCTTCAGCCACATGTGGTCAAGGACAGCTATGAATGTGGACAACACAAACTTGTAAACTTACTGAAAACACTGAGGATTTTTGTTGTTGGTTTGTTTGTTTTATAGCTTCCTTGTACAGTTCTTGAACATGAACTTTGTTGATGATGACATTGTGTCATAATGCCAAAAAGTTGAACCTTCATACAGGTGAATTAGGGACTTCCAGCCTCAGAGAAACTCATGGGAAAGCCATTCCCTTTTGAGTCTATCAGCAAATCCTGTTGGCACCACTTCAGATTTTCACTCTATTTTACCTAGAGTAGCATTTTCAAATAGAGTGTGTGGCGGGGATGAGTGGAGGGGAGAGAAGTAGAAAAAGGAAGCTACCAACTGTTGACTGGACTCTCACTGTGCAACAGGCACTGTATCAGGAGCATCTGAGGAGTTGTTACTATCTGAAACTTCTAACATAAATGACCATCTTGGCTTAACTCCACCATGCTCTCTGAAATTCATTTCCCATCATCTGTCTTTTCACCCAAGCCGAAGTGTCTGAGAGACTGAGACTTCAGAAAGTAAGTCTTCTATTACTATCCATTTCAAGATTTTCCTGTTTGTTTGTTTGTTTGTTTGTTTGTTTTTGTTTTGTTTTGTTTTGGTTTTTTTTGGTTTGAGGAAAAAGAGAAACATGAAGATAGCCAAAGACAGATTGACCATATTCAATCTTGGCAAATTCAAGGAAGCATGAACAAGGAAGGGTATGATATATTATGGGTATATAATGAAAGAAAGGATTATTCTCAATTGTATAGTATCAAAGATTATCTTAACGAGAAGGACCAGTTTGATGTGGACTTCAAAGAAATGATCTCCACAATGCAGAAATTTGATTAGACAAGCAAAGTATAATTGATGACAAAGCTCTATTAAAAATCAAATGTGCATCAAGCCTTCAAGCAGATGTAGTAGATACATTCTAAGACATTGGTTCTCAATCTGTGGGTCATGACCCCCTTGGGAATGGCATATCAGACATTTACATTATGATTCATAGCAGTAGCAAAATTACAGTTACAAAGTAGCAATGAAAATAATTTTATGGTTGAAGGTCAACACAACATGAGGAACTGTTTTAAAGGTTCACAGCATTAGGAATGTTAAGAATCACTTCTCTAGGTTATAAGATACCCTTCCCATCCCACCTGGTGATATACACCCTGGTGTAGCCTTTTCCATTGGAATGTGATTGCCATCTAAGGCTGGAAAGCCAGTATTTTCTGGCAAGGGTGGTGCAATGGTTATCCTGGTTATCAATTTGACTACCTGGATTCAACTAAAACCTGAGCAACTGGGCATACTTCTGAGGAATTTTGTTTGATTGGATCTACCCTATGTCTGGTGGCAGCCCACAGAAAAGGACACAGAAAAATGAAGCTTTTGCTTTTGGCCTGCTCACCCTCACTCTTGCTGGCAAGTTCAGCCATCATGATGCCGAGGCATTCTTTCACTAATGTTAGAAGATGCTTCTTTGGAATCCAACATATCCTGAAGACCTGCTGAGACATCCTGCCTATCAGATTCTTGGCCGTTCCATCGGGAGACAGTCATTGTTGGACTAGCTGGACCACAGCCTGTAAGCCACTCTAATAAATGCCCATTTAATGTTAATTCATTCTATTAGTTCTGTTCCTCTGGAGAACCCTGGCTAATAGAGGTAGGTATGCTGTCACTTTCCTACTTAGGCTACCTAAGACTGTGACATCTGTCTTGCTAGCAGACTCTCTGTTGACTTGGATGAACTAGGCTGTCATGTTCGAGAAATCTAGAAATCCATGTGCCAAGAAACTGGCAAGTGTCCAGTAAATAAAAAGCAAGAGTTGAAGCCCTCTATCATCCTCCCCAGTCAGGCCTTCAGGTGAGGTTTCGGTTCTTGTGATGGACTATAACTCCAAGGACACAGCAGATCTGTACCAGATCTGTAAAAAAAAAAAAAACAGTGTAATAATGAATATATATATTATAAATTGCTAGGTTGTAGGGTCATTTGTCACAAGGCAAGAAATAACTAATTCAGCTAGAGACTAATGAAAAATTTTTTTCTCTGCATCTTTTTTATAGAAAACTTTCTAATTTGTAATCTGAACACCCATTTAATAAATATTATGAGTTTTCTTTATGTGACTCTTAGTGGTGGAATTGCTACACAGCCTAGGCATGCCAGTTAGAAAAGACTTTATGGGAAGTGAGGTGTGCAGATTAATAACTACTGAAAAGGGAAAAAGCACTAGAAAAGTTGGAGATGTATCATGGTGGAAGGGTTACAGGCTGGGCACAAACTATAAGGTTGGACATATAATCAACTGCACAAGCCAGCACATAAAGTTGAGGGTTATGGTTCTCATACAATAGACAATGATTCCTTTGATTATGGAGTAGGAAACATTCAAAGTATTGGTACATGCACGTAGAAAGAATTGAAGAAGTAAGTTTGGACCATACTGTGAAGCTCCCAGAACTCCATGCAAAGGGCTAAGAGTTGGCACATAAAAAAAAAAATGTTCAGACTCCATTGCCAAAAATAATATAGTCACAGTTTCCTTCACGAAAGCTTCCTCATGCCAGAGCTGATGCTTTTAGATAGTGAGCCAAAAGGGAAAACTTCCTATACTTTGATCATGTCCCAGTTCATTCAAGAATATTTTGTACCAGCTCTCTGAAATGCTCACTGCATCTAATGACGCAATTTGAAAACACAAGTATCGCTGAAATCAAGAGATTAGCATCTATAAAGTATTGCTTGTGTTTTCACTATGAATGAACCAGTTTTTTCAATGTCTTCATTTGTTTCTTGTTTAGAGAAGAATCCTTCACCACCACCACCATCACCATTCCCCTCCCCCGACCCTTGCTTTCATCAGTCATTTGCTTGGAGTTGTCTCATTTATTCATCAGAGTTTGAAGGTAGGTCACATGGCTGTGAGATATATATTTATATCTAATTTGTACACAGTCTCTGCTTGGTACTTCACTGAAGGTAGCTAGGTGGCTGCTATGATATTTGAGCAGGGCATTTCCGGAAAGTTGTACATTTACCAGCATGTGATCACTTAGGAAATCTATTCAAGAACATCTTGATGTCAATCTTGACTGCAACTCTCCACATCATTCCCACTTGTACAAAACTACGTAGAGGTTCTCAAGATATTTCAAAAGCTCTGTGTTTGCCCAGCAGGATGGACACGTATCAGTTTTCAGTTTTTCAGAGAACAGTGCAGGCTCACCTCCTTCCTCTCTTAATGATAAATTCCTCAGGGGAACGGGTCAGCATCTGCAACATTGATTGAAGTTGAGTCCCGAGACCCTTTGTTATTGTGCTTTAAGAGCCATTTCAATGCCCAGATCAATACATACCTAACTCTCCCCCAGGCTTTCACGAATTAACAAAGGATGTTTTTTACCTTGTCATTGTCAATGTTGTACAGAGTATGTCTAAATACAATTACAACTCGAAGAACCTATCACACTAACTAACCCCTTCAACAAACACATTAACCATCTCCACGTGTTCCCAACTAAAAATGGCTTGCTTACAATATGCTGTCACAACTCGATTTTTATTTTGACTAATGTTATTTAAGCAGCTGGGAGAATTAATGTGGTTCAACAGAGGCCATGGTCTTAACCAGAGTTTATAATTGAAATCCATGGGCTGTAGCCTTTTCTATATTGAGAGGGAATCTAATTAGTATAGTCTTTGGGTCCACACCAGGAAAAAAACAAAAGAAGAAGGGGAAGAAGAAGAAGAAGAAGAAGAGCAGGAAGAGGAGGAGGAGGAGGAGAAGGGCTTCTGAGGGTCTGAAAGAACTTAGCTCTTTTTCTGCCTTAAGAATTCCCTAGAAACAAGAGACACTAAGTGCATATAAGAAGAACCCTTCAAGCTCACTGCTTGCCTTTAGAGTCACCAGTCTTCAAGGGACTGCTTGTCCCTGCGTGTTAGAATAAACAACTCTAACATGCATATAGGCACAAAACATGAACTTATTTTCTTAAATTATTATAGCTTGTCAATAGAATTCATTTCAAGGCATTCTTAAAGAGTAACAGATTGACTTAAAGTGATGTCATGATATGGCTGATATTGGAATCATTTGTGTTAATAATTCCTCCGAAAGACCATAATTTTATTTATTTTTTTTTCTGTTTTGAGGTTTTGCATTTTTACTAAAAATGTTTAATTAAAATATAATTACATCACTTTCCCACCCAATTCCTCTTTTGTTCCCCTCCCCCAACATCAATACTTCAATTTAAAAAAAATTATTTATGCCCTTATGCCCTTGTATTTGAAATTTTGCATAGACTTAATAAAACAATAAAATATCTGAGGGGCACAAAGACCAGCTTTATATCATAAAATTTATTTCATGGAGATAAGACTTTGGAAAAGACCCAAAGGAGACAAGCTGTTGGACACAGTATAATTGGAAAAGATTCACAAATTATTAACACATTTTAACTTTTCCAATTTGTGAAACAGCTGATTTTATTAACAGGCTACTTTTTATAATCCCTTCATGTATGTTTTGATTCCTTTGCTTGCAAATACATTGCTTAAAATAAAAACATTTACTCCAAGTTTCTGTTCTTTTTTAGTTGGTATTTATACATGTGTGTCAGCTGGCATAGGCCAGAAGGGGTATTGGATCCACCAGGAGCTGGAGTTACAGGCAGTTGTAGGCCACTGGACATGGGTGCCAGGAACGAAACCCAGGTCCTCTGAAAGAGCAGCAAGTTCTTCAACCCATCAGTGGTCTCCCCAGCCCCAAATCTGCATCTGTGCTCTTCATTACTCAGATGTGCTTTTAATTTACCCTCTCCAGATTCAAAAAAATGTTTGCCATTAATTTTTCCATGATAATGTGAACTTCAAATCTCTTGACTGCTTTGTTCATAAGAACTGCTTATTGTCCAACAGTGGTGGCTCATTCCTTTAATCCCAGCACTCAGGAGACAAAAACAGGCAGATCTCTGTGAGTTCAAGGCCAGCCTGGTCTGCAGAGTGAGTTGCATGACAGCCAGGGCTACAGAAAGAAACCCTGCCTTGAAAAACAAAACAAAACAAAGCAAACAAACAAAAAAGAACTGCTTATTATGCTTAAAAAATTAATTGCTTCTTACATAGCCCTTTTAAATAATTCTAGTCAACAATGCTCAAGTATAATTTCACAATTTACACTTTAATTAAAATTCTATATATTATTTTACCCAATCTATTGAGTAGAAAATAAGTACATATATTAGATTCATTTATTCTAAGCACTTTGTAATCTGTTAGTGATTACCAAAGATTAAAATAACAAATAACTCTTTCTCTGTTACTATGACAGGAAAGTGGAGTTTTCATGGTGCTCAAGACTCATTCTCACCCATAAGCCACCACCATGGTCAAGGAAGGCACTCCTGCTGGAGGTGACATGGACATTAGTACTGCTTCAGGGCATGGGCTAGAGAATGCTCTTAACTATGATGGTTTAGCACAGTGGTTCTCAACCTGTGGGTCACAACCCCTTTGAGGCTGAATGACCTTCTTCATAGGGGTCACCTAAGATCATTGGAAAACACAGTTGTTTACAATACAATTCATAATGGTAGCAAAATTATAGTTATGAAGTAGCAATGAGAATAATTTTATGGTTGGGGGTAAACCACAGCATGAGCAACATGTACTAAATGGTTGATGCATTAGGGAGGTTGAAAACCACTGTTGTAGCACAAACAGCGAGGTTACCAAGGCCTTCAACAAGTACCAAACCCAGCTTTGTGTGCTTGCCTCCAATTGTGATGAGCCTATGTGCATCAAGTGGGAAAGGCCCTTTGTGTTGAGCATAACATCCGCCCAATTAAGGATGATGACAAGAAGAACCTAAGGGAACAGGCAGGCCTCTGCAAAACTGACCAAGAGGGGAAACCCAGGAAAGTGGGTTGCAGTGCTCTGTAGAGGTTAAGGACTATGGCAAAGAATTTCAGGCTAAGGATGACATCAGGTACTTCAAAAGCAAGAAACGAACAGTTAAAAAAAATTGGCTCAGGCTATCAGAGATGGCACAGTGGATACAGCATTTACCAGCAAATATAAGGACCTGAGTTGAGACACCCAAGCAATGGCTGATATTGTAGCACATCTGTAATCCCAGCAAACCTACTCAAGATGGGAGAAAGAGACAGGCATACCCCTGGTAACCGGTCTGTCGTATAGCCTGGTGTTAGCAGGAGCAAACAAGAGACCCTATTTCAAGCAAGGGGCAAAGTAAGAACATGACACCTAAGATTGTCTCCTGACTTTCATGTTGTACTTTATCATCTTCCCTAACACAAGTAAACATGAACACACATCCATAACATACACAATTGGATTTTTTTTCTTCAAAAAGCCAAACCTGATTCACTACCAAAGTTAGAATAAATCTGAAGGAAGCAATCCGGAAGTACCCTCCATGTGCAAATGTATGTATGACCACATAATATTTTATACTATGTGTGAAGAGCAAAGTTTCTGGTACATATAGGGCATTCAGCAAGTACAAATGAACAAATGAACTAATGTCCCCCCCCCAGTTTTGTTGATGAGATCACTTCATTATTGAGTAGTAAAGGCAAGATCCGAACCCAAGCAAGGAGTGGACATTCGTGATCATCAGGTAATGTTGCTTGCCTTAGAGATGAGTGAAAGGCACCAGGAAGATCTACTAGGCCCTAAACTGGGCACTGAGTATGCAACATTAATTACAAGGAAAAGGAACTTATAGCAATTGTTATATACTTTAATGTGACATTATATAATCTCACTCAAGCACAAAAAGCTGAGTTATAATGTTAACCTCCAGACCGTTG